CGCGGGCGCTGATCCACGGTTCCTGGATCAGTGCCACGGCTGTGTTGTTTGCCTCCAACCATTTCCGGAGTTGAACCGTTGCGGCCTGGCTGTGGTGGAGGTTGCATTGGATGGTTAGTAATTTACTGAGCGAGGGGGTAACCGCCATCAGTGGACAGCAGGTCCTCGTCTTCGTCCTCGCTCAGTCGGATGTCTCCCATCCCCGACACGCACTCGTCCGCAGAGACGGGGGTCAGGGAGGGCTCCTTCCCTTCTCCGGTGATGCCAGAGGAGGAAGAGGGCTCCGGGGAGACATCCATTGGTGGTTTAATGATGTTCGCCTTCTCAGGCGGCGTATCCGTGTACAGGCCCCTTTTGGATCTGAACCTGAGGTAGACCGTGCCTAACTGGAAAGTGAAGCGCCGGTCATGCCCCAGGACAGCCGGGACCAGTTCTTCGGGGAGGCTCACCACCACGAAGGTATGTCCACTTTGCTTCTGCAGCTTGTGGACAAACCAGCGGTGAACCTCCGCCCATGGATTTTGCCACTTGAGGATACGGCCGATTCGGCGTGCATCCTCCCAGTGGCCAGGAATCAACAGTCCGCAGACTGCCCTCCGGGGAGCCTCCACCCCATTTTTCAATGAGAGGGGCTCCCCGGACGGCAGCCTGATGGTGCTAATGGCATCTTCAAGCCACTGGAATGTGGCTGTGTCGTGGCACCACAATTTCAGGGACCCGTCACTAAAGACAGGTTTACCCCTGAATTGTGGGCCGACGTCCTCCTCGCCGCACTCCTCTGCTCCCTGGGCGAGACGCTCACATAGGGCCTCCTGAACCTTGTCGGCATCGGGGCTCCGTATGTAGCCGGTTTTTGCCGAGGTGATCACCGCCATCAGTTCTGGCTTGGTAGCCTCGGCGTACGTTCGTTGTTGGGCGGGCCTCTCAACCCTTTGCCGTTTATGCTCGCCTCTCGGAGATATGGTCTCGTCGAGTCGAGCACGTTTGGCATTGGTCGAGGGCCTCGGCGCGTTTACCGGTTTGTTACCATGAGGGAGGGGGGCCCTACCAGAGGGATGTGCGGCGGACCCAGCAGACCGCACTGGTGCAGTCCTCGGGCCACTTCCGTCATCCACTGGGGGCCTCGCCTCTCCCTCCTTCGGCTGTTGGTTGTTGGGGTTTTCACGGCGCTCGCGTTCCCTCAGACGACCTTTCTTATTATTGCCGGCAGGGCGTCCCCTGCTCCCACTGGGGGCTGGAGGTGGTCGCTCACCGTGGCCGCTTACCCCTTCCTTGCGGACGGGTGCTGTGGCCTTGAGTTTGGGTTTGCGACTCACCAGGGTCCACCCTGCTTCAAGAGCTGTGTTGGTGGGGTTCTGCGATGCAGAACCCGGTGTGTTCACGGGGGCCGCAGAACCCGAGGTTTGGGCCACTACCGCTACTGCTGAACTAGCACCAGCATCGGTGCTTGGCTGGCCTTGGGGTTTCCCCTTTGGCCTACCACTCACCGTAGGGCGCTGTTGTGTGTGTGTATGTGTTGTTGGGGCACTTTTGGGTTTCCCCTCCAGTACCACCGGTTTTGAGTGAATTAAAGTTTTGGAATGATCGTTATTGTCCATAGCAAAGTGTTCATTGTTCGCTCTCCTGATTTCCCACCCACCACGGAGCCCGCACCTTTGGGGATGTCCCATTCGGGACACCAGGATTATCAGGAGAGTATAGGTGCAGAAGGTAGGAGCTCATTGCGCGACATCGGGGGCTCGAAATGTGCGGCTGGCTGACTTGATCAAAGTCCGCCAGGTACTCCGCACATACTCACCCCGTCAGCATGGCCGAGTCCGTCCCCCCCACACCTCGCCGGTGGCCCTCTGACGGGACACATTGCCGTTTCCCTGTGTTGGCTAGTCACAGGGCTACTGTTTAGCATGAAATCAGGGCCAAAGAGGGCGTATTGCTTGCCGGGGTCTCCACCCCGCTCGGGCTCAGCCCCCCAGGATCCCTTCATCCCTGCGTACGGCGCTCAACTGCGTAGGCATGAACGCAGGAGGGTGTAAATTAAGACCGCCCACCACTTGCCATGGTCCACCCCCAGAGACACATGGCCGGGCCGTGTTGATCGCTTCGCGCCCTCACTGGCAAGACTCAAATTGAAGCCGAGAGTTGTCAGTGTTGGCCCCAGGGTGTACCGGCTACATCCTTGGGCGTTCTGTGACAACGTGTTATCGCAGAATGTTCAAGAACTTCGCACGCGTGGAGGTGGAACAACTAACACACCCCTTCCGTCGATAGCGTAATGTGGCGGTGCACCGTCATGCTGACAATAAAAAGCAGGATGGTTAATGAGGGCTAGCGGTACGTCGTCCATCAAATCAGAGACTATGCTTTGTAGCATATTGAGATAGGTGCCTCCGGTCAGCCGCCCCTCAATAAAATACGGCCCTAGAATTTTATCACCGACAATCCCGGTCCACACATTTGCACTAAAACGCACTTGGTGACGATACGACCGCCAATGTTCATTATGTTGGTTGTACAGCCCCACACGTGTGAATAGGGCTTCATCAGTCCATAAAATGACCGCATCGGGGTGTGCGATCAGCCACTCGCAGAAAACTCGACGAGGCAGCGCGTCTGCTTCATTTAGCGTTTGCACTTTTTGAAAGTGATAAGGGTGCAATCCAGAGGTGTTGAGCAGCTTCCACACAGCGTATTGGCTAACGTTGAACCGTCGAGCTGCATCACGTGTACTTCGTCTTGGATCTCTCTCGAAAAAATCGAAGATTTCGTCTTCGATTTCCACGAACAGTCGCGGCCTACCACGTCCTTGGGCGTGTGAAGGCGTCGTAAACTGGCCATGGTCTAAAAGCCTCTGTATGACATGCAGAAACGTTTGGCGGTTGGGGACTATAGGACTTGCTATTCCATAATTGCGAAGGCGAGGAATGCTCTCTGACTCGTATAGTCTCTGGGCTCCGTTTAGGCTTTCATCACTTATAAAATAGCACTTGACCATTTCAAAGTACTCGCGGTTTGTATACATAGTGACACGTGAATGCGTTTTCAATAGCGAGATAGCGTTGCACACACGTACGAAGCGCTACACGGACGTGTGACGACCATAGATCATCATATGTGACGACTGAAGTGACAGCCGCCAATAGCGCGGCCGGCGGCTGTAGCGGCATTTTGCTTTGATTGGCGTATGATTGAAGAATCCGCGCGGTTAGCGTATGGCATTCATTCATAGACGCATAGTCGTAGTAAATAATAATAGTGTAAATTGGTAACCAATTTTTGTCGAGTATTACTTCGGAATAAATATTTTCATTTTGAAAATAGACCTATCAATTTTTTTTCGAAAATAGAGTCTTTGACTAAAAAATCATTCTGTATAATACAGATTTATTATATCAATATAATAAGACGCCATAACTTCGTGAGCTAGACAAGGGTTCTAAAATTTTCAATTTGTATTGCCGATAAATATTACGTAGAGAATATACCTAATTATTAACTAGGTAATGATAAAGTTGGACATGCAATTTCAAATACTTTGGTTACCTTAGTTAAAGGTACCTGTCCAAAATATAACATTTTAAGTGTTTTTAATATATTTTTTAAATAAATCTTTTAGTAAATTAATAAAAAATATAATATTATATCGATATAAATACGTAGTGAACATGTGTGATTATTAGGATTCTATGGGTCGTATTCTAGAACTCTACTCAATGCTCAAGTCAGGATTTGAGTATGGTTTAAAGCACTCGAAATCATACTCAAGTCCCTGCCATTAGGGTCGTATTTCCAGTGTTTATGTTTCCAGTGCAATCCTGACCAATAGAATTATAAATAACAGATTCGCGTTAGAATTTTCGCTATGTTGCCGCTCTGACCACGTAACGTAACGTAATAGTATGAGCAAATGATGAGTAGGTAACCCTGCGACTTCACGCACACATTCGCGCGTGTGCAGATAGCGCCTTGCTGTATGTAGTAGTAGTAGGTGAATAATTTTGGACCGTTGTATGGAATGTCCGGGGTGTGACTCAGAGTCGTATTACAGAACTCTACTCAATGCTCAAGTTAGGATTTGAGCAGACTTGAGTAAGATTTCAAGTACTGGAAATACGACCCTAATGGCACGGACTTGAGTATGATTTCTAGTGCTTTAAATTATACTCAAGTCCTGACTTGAACATTGAGTAGAGTTCTAGAATACGACACTAGAATACGACTCAGAGAGTGTATGATCTATGGTGTGACTGTAGCCAAAGGTTTTTTTCACTGCAATTTTTAAATATCGTTTTTCTACAAGTATATTTATAATTCACGCTAAATAAACTTTAAAAGTTATTTCTAAACGTAGAACACAATATGAGCTTTCGAATTACAAAATACTTTATTCTGGAAATTCCACTAATCACGAATTCAAAGTTATTATTCAAAGTGATAGAATATAATGTGATTTAAGTGAAAGTGAAACATAAATATAGACTCCGCTTAAAAGACTATTTAATAAACCTAAATAAGTGAACTAAGTTATTTAAAACAAAGTGGAAACATAATGTATTACAATTTAGAACTACAATGGCAAATATTACTGAGGAACCCGATAATTAAACGAAGACATGGCTCAAAGGACTTGCATACAAGCCAAAACTATTAAAAAATGAGCTTTCGAAATTATATTTTTCCAATTTTTCAAATGTTTCCAATTTTGAGTGTATGCGTCATTAATTATATATACTTGTTATTATTATTATAACGCACATCGTCTGAAATTTTTCAGAAATTACCCGCGGTAAAAAAAGAACTATTTTTAAAAGTTATTGTGAGGTTGGTAGCGGTGAAATGCATAGACAAGGTTATAGAATTATCATGAAGTTAACGCGTGTGAAGTGAGACGCTTATCATTTCTATAATTTCATGATCATTCATCATATCGTTCGTTCGTTCTTTTCTGTGATGGTGGATGCTTCATCAGTAAGGAATTAATTTTGTTGAAATTAAAAATTAAATAAAGCTCCAATACAATGAAATCCAAGAAACGCCACCAGTCGTCTTCAGAGGAATCTGAAGAAACTGAAGAAAGCGTGAAATCGAGCAGCTCTTCTGGTAGCGATAGTGATATTTCGTCTGTATCGGATCACCGGCACAAGAAAAAAAGAAAACGCGCTGATTCTTCAGAATCTGAAAGCGAATCCGATGAACAAAAACGTACGAAGAAGCGTAAGCACAAGAAGAAAAAGAAGAAGCACGGTAAAAAGAAGCGACGCACAGATTCCGTACACGAAAGCATTTCTGCGGAGGAGATTTCCATAAGCGAAGGCGAAATCGCGAAAAAGAAGCGGAAACACAAGCACAAAAATTCTAAACGTGCTCGAAGCTCCTCTCACAGCGAAGGTAAAGAATCACTTAGAAATAAATTCAACGGAGTTTACAATACGCACCATTGACACGTAATTGCCTAAATTTTATCTACAATACACTAATGAAGCTATTAGTGAACCCCCAAAAATTAATGTTTTCAGAGGAGGACCGCGGCGACAGACGCCTACATAGCGTGGTAAAGGAACGTCGAGCGTCTTCTGATGAAGGCAGCCAGCCTTCACGTACTTATTACCAGTAAGAATATTGAAGCATATCAGAATTATTTTTTTTTTGTCAGTATTACAGATATAGACAAATTTGGTAGGAGTAGTACCCTTTGTCTTTCTTAAGATTGCTAAAAATAATAGCTGAGTGTCTCTTGCTATTTATCTTCTGTGTACGAGCAGTTAAAATTCTTCTAACACTCGCAGTTGTATGTATGAACAGACTTGCGTCTGCATACAATACTTATGTTATGACAGAGAATTAAAAAGTAGTGATGAAGGTCATTCTCCGCCCCTCCCTAGTGTTAGAAACCGCACTGTGCCTCTCATGTTGACATAGACGGAACAGCGAGAAGTCTGTCAGTGAGTTGTCCACTAAGGAGGATTTTGGTGTTTAAATTTCGAATTTTCAATAAAATCCAATTTCATTAAAGATTATTTAAAGACTTTTCTTATAAGAAAAGGAAATAGGTAATTTATGGTAGAGTAATTCACATATTGTGTTGTTATTTGACTTGATTTAACTAAACTGATCATATTTATGGTTGTTTTAATATTTAAGGAATAAAATCATAATATTTACATAAGATAATGATCATATTATTTACATATTATTATACAAAGGCACTGTGCATGTTAAACCAGATAATAAATAGTTCAAAGAAGTGATGGATTAACCTACCACTTCGTGCATAAATTTGTGTGAGTGCAGACAGCAACTTGATGTATGTAGTACTAGTAGTAGGTAAATAAGTGTCTACTGCTGTAATGAATGTCCGGAGTGTGCTTATGATTTGTATAAATATTTAATGTCAATTATAGGAGAGAATACCGCCAATCAGGTTCGGGTGAGGAATGCAACAGAGAACGGGAAGTTGAGAGATTCTATCGCGGTTCAAGCAAGGAGCGGAGGAGCCAGTATCAGCAGCAGGAACAGTACCATTATGAGAAACGAGGAGATAGGTATTATAAATCATTATTGCAATCAGACTTAACTTTTTTGTTATAAAATAACAATCCTTCAAATCATATTAACATATAGTATGTTGTACTAAACACAGAATCACTGTAACAAATTGATTGTGACATAGAAAGGTTTACTTTTTTATTTACCCTGTAAAGAACTTGGTACACTGGGTATTATTACTATATATATGTATATATATATAAAGCTTGTAATATATAGATTAACCTAGACAGATATTCAAGAATTAACAATTTTTATTATTAGGAGATGAAATAATATGAAACAAAAGAAATGTATGTGTTATAACAACCTATCAGAAACATAAATGCATTACAGATATGCATCATATCAAGACAAAATTTATAAACAAAGATATGACCAAAGAACTCAGTATAGTAACCCTGAGGATTATGAGCGGAGACAAAAAGAGTATGATGAATACAGAAGGTACTATTACTGTTATCAACAAATCATCACTGTCATATTTCCAATATTTCTGCTTTTCACATAATGTTGATATTTTACTCATTTACCACATCATTATAGGTACAAAATAAGCAATCCCAAAATGTGCACTGGCCATAATAAAAGTGATCAATTCAGGGATGGGATGTTCTGAGAAATAGAAATTTCACAAATTGGACTATTTGGAATTAACATTTTGTACCTACACAATGAAATCCATACACCATTTATTGCTTAGATCTCACGTATATCAACTCGCATGCTAAGGCTATAAAAAGGTTCAAAGCACTCTTTAAAAATATATTGATGCGATTCACTTGTACTTATGAATTTTATGAAAAGTATTTGTTCAACCTGTGCACCTAACTAACTCAAGTGCTTCTTTTTAACCTTTTTATTGAAATTTATTGCATTAGATCCTTTAACATTATCTTGAAGTTATTATAAAAATTGTTGTAGGCACCAAAGATATGAAGATCGCAAACCGCCAGAGGAATATCAGAGCCGGTCCAGGGAAGAGTACCATTCCAAAGAAGAAGGAAGAGGTATTATTACTTTGTTCAAAAAATTTATTACAGATAACATTTGTCCAATGATGTTTAATGCCTCATATAGCACATCACATTTAAGTTGTATGACTATTGTGTTTATGAGAATGAAGTTCACATTCTACATTTGATTTATAGTAAATTGTTCCTGACAAATGAATTATATGATAGTATGTGTATAAGTTATTAATTCTCCTCTAGGTTACAATCCCAATCGTCATAACCAATATGAAGAAAGAAGTGGGCCCAGACGGCGAGATTACGAGGAAGGTAGAGACTACCGTGAAAGGTAAGTTCTTTAAAATTATAAATCATGTTTTGTGCCGCAATTACTTGTAAGCAAATACCCGTATTGTTTGTACAGGCGGGCGCCACCCGAGCCAGGACACTACCGTGAAAAAGAGTATCCAGACAAGCGGGAAAAATATCAAGAGAGATTCGCAACAGATAGGTATGTTTTTTTGTAATAATAATTTGTATTTAAATAGTTTAAGACAGAAGTTTATAATAACAATTATTCAACTTGCTATCACTAAACTTGTTAATCAGGTTGTCTACAAATACATATGTGTAGTCAGATGTAATATAAGGTCACTGCATGAGTGTGCTGACGTCCTGGTCGGTGGTTCCGCGTCGTTAAATGACTGTATTTATTTTTACAGTGACATCTCTACAGAAAATTATAATGAGTTTGGTCAGAACGTGTTGCGGTCGCAAAGATATTTTACTATTTGCACTTTAGATGATTACCAATCTAGGCATGTATGAACCTAGCTTTAACATCTGTTACGAAATTCGAACAGAAAATGATTCCTTTGTGGATCTAGCAGAGAAATGACCAAAGGTTGATTTCGCGTCGGTGTAATGAATAATTTTATAAAGGTATACTCCACAGGGCTCAAAGGCTCTCCCATACAGACATGAATGGTTTTTGATACTTATTCGAGAATTTTTTACGTGTTTGAACGTCATTTAATGGAAAACATTGCACACAAGCACATTGAATATATTTAAAAATAATCTAAAACCAGAGATGTGTTTCCATTGACAATATTCACGGCAAATTAGAACATCGGTGAAATTCTGACACTTTAGCCAACTGAAGATAATTAGAAGCCGTAAAATTAATAATTACTATAGATTCACATTTTACCAAAGGAATATTGTATAATGGCATTATAAAACATTCTGAAGATATAAATACCATTGAGACATACTCGTAAAGGAAAATATTTTTTATCAAAACAACTTTTATGTGAAGGAAATAATTATTTCTAACTACAATACAACAAAGAAGAATGGACTTGAATAGTTATTGTAACACTTGAAGATACGGAAGAAATGGGCGCTATTTTATTGTCGAAATTATTTTCTGGATTACACGCAGAATCATCGGCATTAGGATAATATAGTCGCTCTAAGGTGAAGTGTAAACAGATTCAATAAATATAAGTAATACAATGTATGAAAAACAGTCATAATTCACGAGGAACAACTACTACTTTGTTATTTCATACCAGATTGAAGGACTGAAAAGAAACCTAATGACGAAGGAATCTATGAATTATTAATGTCAATAATTGTAAAATTAACAGACAAGAATTTATAACACACTGAAAGAGGCACATGGTTTGTGCCTCACATAAAAGATGCCTTTCCATGAAAATAAACACGTGGCGATGTTTAACAATCAGAATTTATCTATCAATAAGGATTAAACAGGATGTCTTCAATTTATAGATAATTTCTAATTATCGTAGTATTGCTACACAAGACCATATCATTACATTACAAGATTGTGACATTGTGAAAATTTTTTATCGTGAATGGTTTTATTATATTGGAACATTTACTAGAGCACCCTTAAAAATTGCTTACAAAGCAATGTACAGATAATACAACTTGCAAAGATCGATAAATCCACGACCGGATATATTTTTATAGGTAACATGATCTTCATCAAATCAGCGTATTTAACTCAAGAAACGGTAAGTGTATGATCTATCGGAGTGCCAAAGTAAGATACAACGCGTTGGATGTAACTTTGACGGTTATCTTTATTGCTAATATTTTTTTAAAACTGCAAGTTTGTGATTGGATCCGAGCTGTTCGAAAAATACCAGAATATGCTAAAAATATGTTTGATTTACCCATTTCGCTTTTGTACAAAGAAAGTTGAAAGAAATTTGTTGAATGTGTTAAAAACTCCCATCCTGTCTTTAAAAAAATAAAGTTCTTTTCACGCTGGTTGCTTCAATATACAATCAATTTATTACCTGAATATATTTACATAAACTGGTGTGTTACAAATTTTTAGTGTAAATTTATTATCGCTCACAGGCCTCGTGACATGCATCGGGAGCGGCCGAGCAGACCGGAGAAACCTGGTCCCCCTCGAAGGTCAGTCTCCTGCATAGCCAGATTTAAAAGGCGTTGGTGTTTAGCAGGAAAAAATTGTAATATTCTGCAAGGATACAGAACAAAATGATTTAATTGACATGTTCCAGGGAGCAAACCAGATCCCGAAGTCCCGACGATCGATACAGGGAGCGCACCAAACGCCCAGAAAACCGTGAAGAGAAGGAAGAACGTTTCCGCCGAGACGATCGTCGCGGCGATGACCGCCGTCCTGGTAGGAGCGACGAGCGGCCCGAAGACGCTAGACCTAAATTTGACCCTAGACCTAGGGAACGGAAGAGCAGGTGTGTATTTGTTTCTATCGTTACTTTGTTTCGCTTCAATGTATTTATCAGATTCTTTTATAATTCAAAAATCAGCATTAGCAGTTAAAGATTTGCGCTTTCTAGATTCGCCCCAGAAGATAACAAAGAATACAATTGGGGCAAAACTGAAGTAAAGAAAGAAGGCGGTGATGCACCGGACGACAAGGAGAAGCCAAACTTCGGGCTGTCTGGCAAACTCACAGCCGATGCTAACACTGTCAACGGCGTCGTTATCAAATACACCGAGCCCGACGACGCTAAGCAGCCTAAGAGGAGATGGAGGTAAGTCGCTACAAATACACCGCACTAGCAAAATGAGTTGAAGGCAAAGAACACCAGCTACGTAACCAAATAATGTAACCGGCTAAGACGAGAGTGTGTTTTCAGATTCTATCCGTTCAAAGGAGACAAAGCGCTGCCAATCCTTTACATCCACCGCCAGTCGGCATTCCTCATAGGCCGCGACAAGAAGGTGTGCGACATCCACCTGGAGCACCCGTCGATCAGCAAGCAGCACGCGGCGCTGCAGTACCGCGCCACGCCCTTCACGCGCCCCGACGGCACGCAGGGCCGGCGCGTGCGCCCCTACGTCATTGATCTCGGTACGGCTTCATTCCTGGACTGAGCTAGCTATGTGTCATATACCCACGTGAACTTGGGAAAACCTAGTTTACATTTTTTGAATAATATTATGAAACGACACAACTTAGTACTTTTGGAGGGTTTTAGTGGGCATAACAACTAGTTGTGTAATATTATAAACTCGTTAGCATTTTCGTTTTATTTGTGTCAAATATAAATTGTCAAAATTATAATCAGTACAATTTTTCATACTTTCATTTCACTCCCAAGTATTGTACATATTTTGTCGTATGTTAAATGAAAAATGCATTACTAAGTTAACCAAACATTGATGTAATTTATTTATTTCACAGAATCGGCAAATGGTACGTTCGTGAATAACAAGAAAATCGAACCACGTCGTTACGTCGAACTGCTCGAAAGAGATGTGGTCAAGTTCGGATTCTCACAGCGAGAATACGTCCTACTTCACGAGAATAGCAAAGATGATGCTCAAGACGATGACCATCAGGAACCTGCTATCGGGAGCAATGTCACAACTACTGATCAGATTAAACATGACAAACGCGTGAAGCAAGAAGTCGCAGAGGACGGCGAGTAGGTTAACATTATTATTTGTAGTGAATCGACTTTTGACATTTGAGGAACTCGTATTATGTTTTATTTTAGAAAGTTACAAATGTAACAAAACATTTTTTTTTTAGAATTATTTATCGTTGGTAAGTAAGAATATGATTTCTTTGCAAAGTAATAAAATAAGATTTATTTACGTTGGTTCGAGTTATTTTTTTGTTCTTCAGAATATAAATGTCCCACAACGGATATGGAGTTCCTCAAATATAATGTACATAATATCTATGTGTAATTTTATTTTTTATTTCATGTAACTTGCGGTATAATTGAGGCATTTTTGACATATTTTGTCATTCTTAGTTGTTTAAATTAGAAATAGGAAGTTTTTTGTTCACTTGATTAGAAAATAGCAAATGAAACAAGTAAAATCTTTCAAGATAAGTTATTTTTTTATTTAAATAGTATCCTTACAATAAATGCATTATTTTGTCCATAACTGTAGGGCTAGCACGAAAGGGCGCGACTTGCGCGAGAGCGACAAAAGGCGTGAGATAGTGTTATTCTCGCATAAGGATCTCGCGCTTTACGCCTCTCGCGCAAGTCACGCTCTATCATGCAAGCCTTACTGTTGTACTTTTCGTAAAATCGTTCACAAAATTGGAGATTTAATGAGGAAAAACGATTAAGCTATTATAATATATTTTCAGGTATAAATTTATCTGTATAACTTTATCTACCCCCTACATGTCGAGCATATTCTCTATTAAGTGGTCGCGAAATATTCACAGCAGGGTTGTTGCGAATATCAGCATCCGGATCCGCGGATAATCTGCATAAGTTAAAATATCTGCATCAGCATTTAATCGATGCTGACATTCATTGCGGATGTTCGAGTCGTGATATGACCTAAAAGGCACGCTGAAATAATTTACAAACCTTCCAGAAACAGACTGCAAGCCGATTTAACTTTGATAAAATTCCAAAACGATTAAGTTAGGTAGTGCAGATTGATTGTTTTGTTAATAAATGTAACAAAATCATTGAAATGAAACTATTTTTCCGGATTTAAATTGCGTATATTAGCTTATTCAAACAAACCTATGTTTCGGTCCCATGGTCACAGTCAACCTGTAAAGGGCCCGAAAAGTCGGTTTGTATGAATATTCAAATATACACGATTTAAATCCGGAAAAATAGTTTCATTTCCTATGTGTGACAATCGCGGAAACCTAAGAACTCGAAAATCATTGAATTCACATTTTATTACAATACCAGAGAAAATGGAAAGTTTTTTCATGTAGATAGATTCAGTAAGGATGTACATTTTTCGCGTTTTGGAGGAGGAGAGTGAAGAGGTCCTCAATTCGACTTTTTTTGTATGTACGTTACGCGATAACTCCAGAATTTGTGAACCGATTTTGATGATTATTATTTTGTTGGAAAGACGGCACCTCAGTATTGGTCCCATTTAAATTTACTAACTAACAAACCAGGGGATGAATCCGGGTCGCGTATATACTTTCCGGTAACCGGTTTCAATAAAAGTTGGCAAATACATGTAGTTCCACGAACTTTTGAGGTTGTTTTTTTAGTACTCTATACTGAGATTGTTATTTTTAAATACATACAATCAGCATCCGCTCATATATAAAACACCTGCGACAGCAACAACCCTGATTCACAGATACAAAATACATTTCTCCCTATTACTTAAATAATATGTACATGATCATATATTTACATCTATCTATCTAATAAAATAAATAACTCGCGTGTAAAAAGACTTGAAGATCGGTGGAGTAATGTACAAATAGGTAAAAAGTCTAACTATCAATATCACAGTTCAAAATGGAGTCTTGAAAGTGTGTTTGTCGAAGTCCGTGTCGAGGGTTTTTTCTCGAGACGAGGTGGGCCGTGGCTCTTGTACGAAAGAGGACTGAATTCCTTCGCAGAGAGATGCACGTTTCATTATCCCGTTTCGTAGAGGGATTATAGTTGCGTTTGGTGGACGTGTGTGGGTTCTCAATGAATGGGTACGGTATATCGGTGGCTTGATCAGTCTGTTTGGAGCGACACCTATAATACTGTGTCTAGAGAATGGCAAATACGTCATAGGTGCTCTGGGGATCTCGTAACCGTCGTAAACAGTCCCAGCGCCAGAGTCACTGTCGTACATTAGTTCTAAGTATTTTGGCGTCCTTTGCGGGAGGAGTTGCGACGGCTCCATTTGTTGTTCTGGGTAGTCCTCGTCTGTAAAATGAAACGTGTATTTAAAATTAAATTGGCACAATCACATATATCTTTTTTGTTTTTAGGCTTTGCGCAATAACATCATATTTTTAGTAATATTCTGATTGCTCTTCACAATAGCTCGATGGCCTTACATAGAGCGTCCAGAAGTGGACGTTATAAGAAGCATATTCTGTACTTAAAACAGACAATTTCTTTTCTACGACCAATGTCTACGACTTAAAAAAATTGTAAAACAAAATTCTTTCTATACACAAAACTGTTAACCTGATTCTATGTGAATTGAAATAAATTGGAAAGATTAAGATTTTTATTTACAAGTTGTAGAACACAATGTGTTACTTGTGTTGTCCAGAATATGATCCATTTATGGCGACGACTTCATGGACAGCCTGTATATTATTTGTAACAGAGATTTGAACAGAAACATTAAAAATTGATCAGATCATATTTAAATTATATTTCGGTGGTAATGAATATGGAACAAACCTACGCAGGTGTTGTCATTCTCGTCCAGCAGGTAGGTGCGGTTGTCGACAGCGTCTGCATGCGGATGCGGCCCATGCACAATGCGTATACGTTTTGTTAATAAATCAGTCGAGTTGATAAGACGTTAGAAGGAAGCTTTACGAATGTTATGAAACCATCGCGTACTTAGGACGTGTATTTAAGGATCTTTACAAAGCCTTGTTTGATGATAGGTAACAATGTTTCAACCTACACTGTTTAATATTGTTTTGTGCAAAGAATCCGCGTGTCATCTAGTAGTTAATGTTTGGGATATTTGTCAGATCGTTTTACACGCCCTTAGAAAATTAGTGAGAATTATATGGATGGATTAAAATGCGTATCGTATGCATTAAACAGTATGTACAGTCAACATCACATCAAGTTTGACACTTTGGTTCAAAGGACCGCTCTTGTCGCAAGCGACATAGAATTTTTAAGTGTCACGTCTGACGTGTCCTGACCCTGTAAAAATAATATTCTTACCGTCTCCTAATAAAGTTAGATAGTGCGGTGCTGGCGTTGGCGTCGCAGTCAACGTAATGTTAGGTGACGTCTTGTCTTTCAGAGCAGTCACCACTTCTAGACAATGTCGGAATGATGGCCGACCTTCTGGAGAGTAACTCCAACATTTTTGAAGCAACTCGTAACTGTGGAAATTGGCAATTGATTAAAGCGATAAGGGGCCAAAGGCATCAACGGCTACGGACGTTTTATGCATACAAAAAAGACGCGCGTTTCGCGTCGGCCGGTCCGAGCGGTAGCGAAACGAGCAACATCTTCGCTTTTATTGCAAGGACTATAAGTTCTTTATGACCTGCTCGTCTCAAGCTTTATAATATGGGACGCCGTGTAGTTTATCTTGCTTGAACGTTATGGCCGAAAATTATTTCAATAAAGATCTTAAAAATGACTTACAAAACGGATGGGCAGTTAGGAGGTCGATCAGGTGTGCCTCCAGCCCGTACATAAGCAAGAACTTGACGATTTGTTCTCGCTGGATATGGTTGCTGACCTAAAGACAATACCTGTAACATGGTAATGAAACTTTACACAAAGGACATCCAAGTGTTGTAGTACATCACACTAGTTAGTACGTACCTCCCAACAGAGTACTCCCCAAGCCCATACATCAGATTGACATGAGAAAACCCCGTCTACTAAACATTCTACTGCCATCCACCGAACTGGTAACAATCCTGAAAAATATTTATAATAAATGATCGAATTAGTGGTATGCATAAGCGCTCAGATGTATTCGAAACGAGATGCACCAATATCGCTTTACCTTCTCCTTCTTTCCTATAGTAATCGTTTTTGTAAATATCTCTTGCTAATCCAAAATCTCCAATTTTAACAACTCTTCCGTTAGCACGGTGCGCGACCAAACAATTGCGGCACGCCAAGTCTCTGTGTACGAAATGCATTTCTTCCAAATACCGACATCCTTTGGTTACATCTACGCACATGTTTAGCAAGTCCAGTAACGTTAGCGACTCAGGAGTATACTAAAAGTTAGAGAAAAGGTAATATTTTGTTAAATAGGGATACATTTCAGCTCATAATCAAACCTACTCAAAGATAACAAACAACAGCAAATAAATAATTTTAAGTTAGTATGTGGAAATGATAAGCTATTTTTTTCCGGATCATAATCGCGTATGCTTGTTGTTTCATGGTCAACGGTGATCATAGGACATGTAGAGCCTCAAACGTTGGTTTGTTTGAAAAAATAATTTTAAATTCACGAAAACAATTTTGTGCTTCCCAGTACCTGTTAACGATGGATTGCACACATTTTATATAATTTTTTTTGCTTATTTACTTTTTTTGCCTAAGATGTTCGTTGTTATTACTACGAGCACCAATTTCTATAACCAGAAGTATTCTGGAGCCAATACATTTTTAACCGACTTAAAAAAAGGAGGAGGTTCTCAATTTGACTTTTTTTGTATGTATGTTACGCGATAACTCTTTTTTGTTGGAAAGAGGGTACCTCAATAGTGGTCCCATTTAAATTTGAAGAACATATTCCACCTCTAAGGGTGGCAAACTAGGGGATGAATCCGGTTTCGCGCATTTTCTGGTATGTGATTTTAATAAAAATTGGAAAATACATGTAATTCCATGAACTTTTGAGGTCGGTTTTTTAAGCCTATGGGTTATTGTTAGGGTACGTACAGATCTGGCGAATGCGTTGCATGTGCGCCGATCGCGCTGGACGCGTGAAATGAAGTGTGTAATCACATCCCACGTGTACAGCTCGCGAGCCTTTCGCAATCGGGCGCATTCGCCTTACTGGACGTATAGATTTTAAACACAAATAACAGTGATATCGTGGTAAGACTAGTAATGCCAAATTGCTCTTGTTATATAATTCTTTTTTGTTCGATCATATGTCATCTATTGTAATAGACGAGAATATAAGTGACTTACTAGGGAAGCGCGTTTGGCTCTCAAGTAGCTAAGCAAGTCTCCGCCTTCCATGAGTTCCATGATAATATAATTTGGGTCGTTATCCAAGCACACTCCAAGTAGTCTTAAAATGTGTTCGTGTTTGAAGTTTGACATCAGTGCAGCTTCCTTCAAAAACTCAGCCTTTTCTTGTTCCGTGGCTCCTTTCCTTAAGGTCTTCACAGCAACTTTTGTTTCAATTGTGGTTCCGTTAATCTGTCGAGCGACACCTTCAAATACTTCCCCAAAAGCACCAGAACCGAGGAATTTTGTCAGTGTTATTTGCTCGCGTCGAATATGCGGTAGACTCGCCAGTTCGGCATCCGATGGACAATGCACTCCCTACAAAAATATCTCACATAAATTATCTTAAGAATATACAAATCTCGCTAAGTACGATTAGGACTCCCGTCTTGAGCGTTTTGTACTCAAGACCTCATTATGTCTTCCATAATCAGTTTAATTTTATCCCAAAAACGAAAAATTGAAACTTCGTTTAATAATTCTTGGAATATTCCTTCAATTTTTCTTAGTGTGTAAATAAGTTATTTCATGTGATACCACATTTGACTCAGGTTTCGAGCCACTCATTGTAGTCCTCAATTTAAAACTCTCCTACATTTCTTTTACCCAGGATATATGTGGGCAACCAGTTATAAGTAAGGGTCAAAAGCACGTTAAGCTTGACACTTAAGATTTAAATCCAACTCTACGCCGCTTACGATAAGAACGGTCCAAAGTACAAAGTGTCAAGATTGACGTGCTCTTGACTATACCTAACTGTGCGAAATTTCAAATCGAGGCCAAATGCCACTTGCAAACACCATGAAAGAGCACAATTTTTTTTTAAATCAAATAATGATGATCACAAATGGTTAAAATCTAATAAGCGGAATAATTACCTGGTTATAAAGTATATTAGTGGAATGTCTAATTGGGAGTTGTCGTAAAGTAGCTAGTTCTACATCAGGACCTCGTCTTGGCAGATTTGCTGTAGATTGACTTTCTTCTGCCGCCTTCTTTTTAGTACGATTATTGTACGCTGAAATGTTTCATTAGAGTTTATAATTAAATAATTTATAATATAAAGAATTTACAACAAATTAATTTACTAACTGTAGAACACAGCAGCGGCAACACACAAAACAAGTGCGGCTAAAGCTGCAACAGCAACAACCAACGCTGCAGGGTGAGGTGCCGCAGCGTATGCCAGTGGAGCAGCGTCCAATTCTGCTGCTGGAGACAGCCGGCTCCAGCCGTAACTGTTTCTCGCTTGCACTCTTGCAACGTATCCTTCCGATACATCGCCAGCACCAATTAACCAATACGCTTCTAAAAATCACAAAAACGTTGCAGTTGTTACGGAATTTTCATATCGTCACGGATAAAGTTACTTGCAATACTGGTGTATATCGTACCTGATCCGTTATGCAGAAGTTCTAGACCTTCACGTACCATAATAATTTTCGACTCCCTGTCCACGTCTGCTAGGAACTCTGCTGTCATTAAATTGCTCATGTTTTTGGTCGCATTATGATTTGTTGTTCTGAAATATTACCGAACCGATATTGTAGCATACGCTTTTGAACTGTTAGGCTCAATTTACATTGTAGCGGAACGGAATGGAAGCGAATTTTTGTAACGATATTGTACATAGCGTAATGAACTTTATGGTCAGTTGTATAATGTACAAACTAGATATGAGCCAAAAATCACGTCGCGCGTCTTCCGCGGAATTCTCGCGCGTTCACGCTGGAATGCTCGAGCATTTCAGCGACCGTGCGCGCCTTCACGCGCAGCGAGGCGAAATTGACGCTTCCATTCCATTTCGTTCCGCCGCAGTGTAAATTGAGCCTTATGATTTTTCCGGAAATAGATATGTAGATATATTTTAATATTTTATTACGATATTTAAAATCTCACTTTTGTCTAAGTCGCCCCCAAACTCTGTATTCCTCAATGGGAGCACCTCGACTATCCGGTTCTGTCCACCACACACGCAACACTCTATCACCAACGGCTTCTACTCGTAATTGCCCTGGAGCCGCTGGTGTATCTCCTATAAAAAGTAAGGTAGAATAGCGTGTTAACATTGTTGACGATATGAAGAAAATTAAAAAAGAAACCAGAATACTAATACTACCTTGGGTTTCATAAACGAAACGATCATCATGTGGCCAGAAGAAAAATGGAGCTTTGCTTACGTACTGCAGACGTAGGCGAAAGCGATATATAGTCTTTGGATTCAGATTACTTGCCGTCCATTCTCCTCTACCGTTGTGAACGCAATGCTTCCAGTTCTCATTTAATGCTCGTACGTCAGCATCGCTGCTGTACTCCAATAGATATCTATAATTTTTTAGAACCAATTAATTAATTTTATAATTGGTGAAGCTTCAGAACCGATCTTATGCACGTCGATGACTTGCTGGTTTACTTACTGATGTAAGTGATACGACGTAGGTGGCGGCCAATACAGTTGAATTGAATACGCTGTGACATTTTTAAGCGCAAGCGGGGCGGGCAACGGATAAGTACGAAGAGTTAGTGATTTAGAATCGGCCCACACAGTACTGTAGTTAGACCGTGCTCGCACCCAAACTGTGTACAGTGTACTAGGAGAAAGACGGGTCATATTTGCGATTCTGCCCTCTGTTACTTCAAACGTGTTGTGTTCTGTAACATAATGTACAGGGTCAAAAGCACGTCAAGCTTGACACATAAGGTTTAAATTCATGTTTATGACGCATGCGTTATGAAAGGTCCAAAATCCAAAGAGTTCATTTTCATGTGCTCTTGAATATATTATTACTTAAAGTCGCAAAGAGAAATCAAATATTTTCATAATGATTGTTGTGGAATATAAATTGATTTATATACCTTTGAATTTATGTAGTTGTGAAGGAGTATCGTCAGTTCTCCAGTGTAATTCATACCACAATCCATGCTCTGGTGTCCATTCAATACGAGCTAACACTGGACTTAGCACAGTGAACTTTACGTCTTTTGGAGCTTTTGGTGCTGAAATAATTATTGACGATGGATTAGTGAGACATTTAAAAAAATGCAATAAGACAGTCGATCATCACTATTAAGTAGTTTACCTTCTGAAGCTGTATGTAACACGAAAGCAGGCCCAACAATAGGATGGATTTCGTGAAGTTTTGCATAGTAATTGGTTGCTTCAACTACAACGGTATAATTTGTAAATGGTTTCAATTCTTTTAAGACTACTTGTGTATTAGTAGTCGTAACAAAATTACATGATGCTCTGTCGCACCCGGTTGAGTCTTTATCTTGAGATTTGTTATAGAAAACTGTAAATTTTGTTGCTGGCATTTCATACTCCAATGCTTCACAGGCTTTGGGTTTGCCAACGTGAGGCAATTGTAAGGTAATACTGTTCGCTGAGGTAGACAACATTTGAGGCAGAAGGTTCTGTGTTTCGGGATATAAACAATGTCTCGGCGGATACATCTGATTTCTTGGGTCCAGTGCCACTATTTTGTACCCGTGTGACACTTTTACTTGTTCCACCTTGCTAACGTTGTTTTTGTTTGTGTAATAAATTATTCTTTCTGTGGAATTGAACCAGTAAATGTATTTGCTATCTACTGTTATCGACGTGGGTATGAACCCGTACTTTCCCGTCGTGTTTCCTACTACTCTACATCTACAGCCATCCATATCGGCTGCTATAATTTGTTTGACCCAAGGATCTACCCAGAAAAGTTGATAATTTTGAGTCGTCATATCAATAACAAACGGTCTTGCTACTTGAGGGTTTTCAGGACAATTGCATTCTTCTCGTGAATCGTGGTCTGTGGTATGGTTAAAGAAGTTTCTTATGTTCGAACCGTCTATTTTTGATGTTACTAAATTGCCGAGTTCTGGATGTATGCTTGCCTCATACCAATATAAAGAACTGGAATAAGAAAAATGTTGGTGTAGTATTTTTACTATTTTTGATATATCTTAAAACTATAAGATGTAGATCAAATTTACCGTTGCAGTGGTGCGATTTGTAAACTGTAGATCGGTTGTCGTCTAGCAAATATTTTTCTAGTTTGAGGAGATGTGTTCGGTACACTTAAATCGGCTCTGTAAGCTACGAATGACTCTATTGATGACATTTCCAATTGCGTCCAATACACTGATCGCCCAACCCAGTCTACGCATATGCTCGTCGCTGAATCTGTTACAGATACCAGCTGTGAACAAAAATAATGATGGTCTGTAGTCTGTAATATTAACGAAAATTTCGATTTTGGATATTTCATATTAATATTAGATAAGTTTCACACCTTATAGTTCCCAGTGCCGTTCATCCTGGATGAAAAGATTTCCTCTAAATTGTTAATCCAATACACAATATTCTCCTCTATAGAAACCGTAAAATCTATCGGTATGCCAGTGCTTTTTGGTATAATTTCGCTTTCCCCTGAGTCCAGATCGATAATTTTTATAGATTCTTGCGATGACATCATGACTTTTGGTATGGGATTCACATCATCGGAAGAGGACGATACTGTCAGTGAATATTGACCATATCCTGCGTCAGTGTAAGCGCGAACCTGGAAGAACCAATGATTTATCAAAGTATACATATAAGTAAATATTTTGCTTGCTTATTTGGTTTTTGGTACAGGGTCTGGCACGGTATGCTAGAAGACGTCGGTTCGAATCCGGCCGGATCGAAGGAATTTTTTCTGAGTGTTTTAATAATTATATGTATTAATAATTATAACAAACTAGTGTAGTAATTTCACAAAAAATAATTCAATATCAATTCAATAAAAATTCGACATCCCTCGCCAGGGCCGGTAGCTGTAAAGATATTTAACTGGGTGGAAAAACTTTCATAGATTTCTCATAGATGGCGCTACGACTAAAAAGTTGTTAAAAAACCAAATACAAAGGACACGACAACAAGCAAATAGAAAAATTCGTGAGGTCCGCTGGTTCGTTCCGTGGCTTAGTTGGTATAGCGTCTGCCACGGTAGTATGCTAGAAGACGTCTGTTCAAATCCGGCCGGATCGAAGGAACTTTTCTGAGTGTTCGATCTTTGTGTTAATAATTACATAAGTAAATATTATATTTGTCGTACAAATATAATTTGTAACAGTTACTAACTCGGAAATAATAAATAGAACCGTTGACAAGATCTCGAAGCATGAGCTGCGTATGCGTCGGAGATAAACGGGCGTCAGCGCATGCAGACGACTTTACGGGATCTCGCATTTTTTCTTTAACAGGTTGTGACCAGCACTGGACTTCGTAGCCTCGCGTGATTCCATTCGGGTTAGATGGTGGCTCCCATCGAAATATAGCTGTTAGCGGACCGTCACTGAAAGATAAAAATAATCTCAATCAATCTATCCACTACACGCACATGTACAATATTCACAACCAATAGAATAATTATAATACCTTTGCACATGCTGCATATAAACCCTCGGTTTACGAGGTGCAGAAGGCACAGCCTGAGGTGAACGAAGCTGTGCACGTGCCGCCGCTCCACCTCCCCAATGCGTGTGCGCTCGTACCGTTACGTCCATAGTGCTATAAGGTGCCACTGTACGCTCTTGTACTTCCACCCAAGGTGCATCCACAGTTCTCTGCAAATTATTGACCCATTACTATCGGTTATATCCTTGTTTATAACCTAACATTCGTTTAGTCCCAAAATGAATACGTACTTCGATCTTATATTGCCCATGAAAATGCAAGCTGACGTCATAATAAACCCGACTGTCGTTAATATTCACTCGCGTTGCTGGAGCCCATGTTACATTGAAATCGTTCCACATGCCGACTACTATTATAGAAGAGGAGTTAATCATCTCGGGTATAGCTATGAGAGATTCTGAAACAGTTATACAAAATAATGAGTATCATTGCAGAAATAAGGCAAGTATGAATTATTTTATATTTACCACTGTTGTCGTGAAGAGCGGGATTTCTAACCGCAACGTTGTGCACTCTAGGGACTAAATCTGCTGTATATTGACCCGCTAAATCTGAGACCACTGCCCGGGATGCGTCCTGAATCCAAACGAGGCGCCCGCTAAAGTAGCATAAGGGACCTAATGTTGCTGTGCCTTGTAAACTTTTCACTAGCGAACCGGATATCTAAAAAAATAATATGATATAACAACAAGTCAGCTATTCACAATAAAGAACAAGAACAAAAACATCACCAACTATGCTAGGTTTGTAAAAATATCAATTAGGTATTAGTATGAAATTGCAAAACATTGATACCTCATAAATGCCATGGGAAATTTGATCGGCTGTTGGTGCTCTGTGTAACTCTGAACCATCATAACTTCTAACCATCCAGTACAACCATTTGTTCTCTAAATCTGTGGTAAGTCCCATAACTATAACAAAATGTAATGTTAAAATTTAATCAACAGAAGGCTATGTATGTAATTGTTTAGTCCTAAATTTACCTTGTTTTCCACTGAATAATTGTGCAGGAAAGTAGACCATTTTGTTCTCGCCATTCAATCGCGCAGCTTCAACAGCATGACCTGTATTCCAGTAGATGTACGCACCTAAAGAATCTATTGTCAATTCTTTTGCCACAGTCACTATAGGCACGGGTTCACGATTGCTTCCATCAAAATTTCCTCGTGTTATCTGCAAAAACAAAACAATTTATCGACGTATCACCACTAGGGAAAAATTTATTCTATAGATATCAATTTTACTTAGGTGTATAAATTATACAACTCACCAGTTGTTGTTTAGGATTAGACCAATAGATTTTCTTGCCAACCCAATCTACTGCCAAACTGCCTACGTTTTCCATATTTGACATCATTCCCTTTTCTAACGAGGTGATGTTGAACCACATCACGGTGGAAACGTTGGTTACTAAATAAAGCTTGTCACGATACCAAGAAATGTCAGTTATGTAAACATTTTTTAAATCCATACTGTAATAAAATTTATAATTTTTTATTTTCCTGTGATGTATTTGCGTGTTTCTAAGCTTAAATTTAATTTGTTTAGCTAAGTAGGACATTACCTGTCAATCAATGTTTTTACATTTTCTCCCGTCAAATCAGTTTGCAATAGTCCATCAGGTCCGGACCAAACTAATGTGCTGCTTCTAGTTGTAGCTGTGGAAGCCAAAGTCTTTCCCACAAATTGTGAGGACCATGGACCTAATGGAGAAAGTATTGTAGTTAATATTTTTGTTTCTTGTCTACACGCACTACTCGTTTTTAACATGGGCATTACTGACTTACCTGAATCCGATTTAGTGACGGCTGCTACCCTTACGGTGTAAACAGTATCATGTTCTAGATTGTTGACAGTATAACTTGACTCATTAATGTTTTTGCTGAAAAAATGCAATAAATACTATTAGTATTGTATTTAGTTTAGTGGAATATATCACGCAGTTTTCGTATTATAATTGACCAAAATATAATTTTAAAACTCACATATCTATTGTTTCTCCCCGGGCTTGATGTGTTAATTGGAGATGAAATGTCCATTGCTGCCAAGCGCCAGTTCCTTGATGACCTAAGAGATGAGGAGGAGACCAGGACACTTTTGCACGATCCACACCCATAACACTTTGTACTCCTATCGGCGGATTTACAGGGACAGGAATTGGCTGGCAACTTTTAATCGCGACTAATACTTGACTGGTATCGACTATTCTTGTTTTAGGAAGTGGATACTCGTTATGAAAATAACTGTCGCTTTGAGCGTGGTATTCTTCCGTTAACATTTCTCTTCCGTTTGTCCAATAAAAAAGTCCTCCTGCAAAAGCTATCGATCGTGTCGACTGAAACATTGGTTTTTGTGTATTTCTCCTGAAATCTGTGACTTCACGGCCGTCTAAGGATACGGAGAGCACTGTGTTATTTAACACATGTACTATAAGTAATCTGAAGTCGGCATGGTCTACGGTAAAAGCACCAAGATGAGGGTCTCTAACGATGAGTTCTGGAGGGGCATCGTGCCGAACACCATTTGAAATATTTGCGAGGTCTAATCTGTATAAACCGCCTCCACCGCGATCGGAACCACGAAGAGCCCAAAACAAGTATCTGAAAAGAATATTTGTAACTGTTAATGCTAGTCAATTATATATACTGCCACCATAGCTTACATTGTTGCAAATTAAACTTACCCGTTATAGGCGTCCACTTCAAAATGAATAGGTCGAGAATGGAAGTAACCCGATAACGCCACAACCTGATTTTTCCCATCAAAATCGTATCGTAGTATTTCCCAATTCGGATACGTTACACTTGAATTTCCATCGTCTCTTCTGTAATATACTTGTCCGAGAACATACAAGTGACGATTTAGCCAATCGACAGATAAATCCAAAGGCTGGTAAGATATGTTGTGTGGAGTGAGAATGGCTTCTGAAGAGCTCTTTTTTGATAAACTGCTGCGATATACGTAACGATTCGAAACGGAAACAAAGAGTGAGTCACTGCTCACATCGAGACCAACTCCTGGAATTCGAACAAGATCGTATTTGAATTAGTTATTTTAACTTCTTTACAAATGTTATTCTTCAGGTTTAAAATATTTACTTACCAGTGATTTTATGTTCAGTGCTGTAAAGCTCGACGGGATCAGAAAGCATATCATTGGCGGCCGCTGCCAACACATTTTGTTCTCCCCCCAGAATTAAAATAGGTTGTTGACTAGGTACGGCTAAAAACATTTAATTCAATTAATATTACAAATTAAAATCAAAATTTGAGACAAATGGTAATCGTCGACTTACATATTGGTAAAGGCGGAGTTGAGATTTTTACATAAGATTCTGGTCCTACGCCGACTGCGTTTCTCATTGCTACTGATACTTCATACTCCCTTGCAGGAGCTAGGTTTTGGAACATGTAAAACAGCGTATTGTTGGAGGCTGGCATTTCCTAAAAAAATAACATGTTCTAAAAGTAAATAATTTTAAATTTATGATTTTGAAATACGATTATGAATACAAAGATCGAACACTCAGAAAATGTTTTTTTCGTCGACTCGGTGGGACATGAACCCACGTCTATGCTGCACCGTAGCATTGCTCTTACCAACTGAACCACGGACTGACTGAGTCGAAGAAAATTTTTCTGTGTATTCCATCTTTGTATTCATAATTATAACAAAACTAGAGTTATTTCACAAAAAATCGCGATAAATAAATGTTAAAATATGTTTAAAGAATTTTACCTCTAAAGCGTCAATAGTATTGGGTTGCGTGTCAGTCAGTCTAAGGACATAAGATATCAGCGGGCCGTTAGGAAACTGCCCTGGTTCCCAAGAAATCGCAACACGCGTTGGATCCGGTGCTGCAGCTCGCAATGCTACGGGAGTTGAGCTAGGTTTGCCGCTTTCTAGAGTAGAGATAACTACCGAAGGTGCTGAATTCACTGGCTCCCCGGTACCTCCACGGCCTGAGAGAAATATGGCTACTCGGAACTGAAAACCATAGCATAAAACCATAAGTTAACAGTCCAAGGATTATTTTGACATGGGGATTATTATAGTAATAATATGAAAAATGTTTTGATAAGGCTGAATAACTCACTCTATATTTGGTGTATGGCTGAAGATTTTCCACGTAAATAATAGATCTGTTAGAATGACTGATATTAGAATAATATTGCCAAGTGCCTGGCAGTTCTTCATACCGCCATTGCACTAAATAATTGATATTTCCTAAGTTAGGCGCTTCCCAGAACAGTGATAATGAGGTAGCTGTCAAACTGTCCGCTACAAGAGCTGGTGCATTTGGTGTTCCAATCAAGTCTGAAAATCAAATACAAGTCATTAAAATAGTAGACAGTTAACATGGACGTGTTAACAAATATGAACATGTTGACATTCGAAATCCTCATCAAATCACCTCTTAACTTCTGAAAGTAGGTATTAAGAGCTTCATTGCATCCCATCACACAGTATAATTCTCTTGAGAAAACAGTCTCTGAAGTCACATTCTGGAAATAAATGTTTAGAAGTGAACAAACGTGTAGGTACAACACCGAGAACAACTAACTTTATTAAGTTATTTTAACTTACGCATACTGCTTGACACGAATCGATAAGGCCCAGTTTCCAAATGCTGCATCCTATTTTACACTGTAAAGAAAAAAAGGTAGACGTTATTACCTTGTAAAGAATGAATTTATTTAATTAGGCACAATGAACATGGTACAATGGTACAATGAACGAAGGACGATCGAAATTGATATCGCGCAGGTAGAGCTAGAAAAATGTGAGAAAGAGTTGCCTGCTAAAAAAGAACTACTAATGCGTAGACCGCCATGACATCGTTTCGTATTTATATAGCTGTTAGTTATATAAATATTATTTCCTAAGTTATGAATTAAAATAAATTACATATTTTCATTTCATTTCATCTAATTTATAAAACCGTATACAAAACGCGTAGATAACATTATGTAAATTTCTAAAAGGCGATGACAAGATATTGTCCATACTTTACATCAATTAGTGTTTAATGGTGCGGGCTCTGATCTAATTATCTAGTCTCCGTTTGCTCAACAACATCATCTGTTTAATACAATTACATTATAATTGAATCTAATTTGAATGCATTATGTAAATTTACAAATATCCTTCAAAAGTTTCAAAGTGTCTTGTTTTGGTTTTTATTTCTTTTATGCTTTCATGTTCTATTGAGTTTGTTTACCCGTCTTACACATGTGCGTCTAGTGAGTTGCTTTCGAAGGTAAACAATTTATTGCAAGGGATAGCAGTCCTATTTTAAGTGTATGAATAGTACCGTTTGCCTGTCTCTTGTCATTATCAATGCGCATGTTTATCTGCTACAATTATGTATATCTGTACTGAGGTTCACATTCAGCCATTTTAACGGATTTCTACGGTTCGATGACGTCTTGCACGGGGTGGTGACTTTGTGAAACTAACCGGAAGACGCAGGTGCTTGAGCTTGTAGAGACGCACCCTTCTTATTTTAACTGAATCTGTGGTGTCGTTTGCATTATTTTAGATAGAAAAGTTTTAATTGCAAGTGGTATGATATTGTAGACATGTATAATTTATTATTAATTCTTAATTATTCATCATAGCGTGTTCAAAATTAGGCAAGTTCACACACATTAACGTCTCTGTGGGTGTCCTTCGCTCTAATAATGAAGTTATCGGCGCACTGTCACCGAGCCATTATTCAATTGCCCACTATCAGAATAAATACGTTTGTTATAATTTGGTACAATTACAAATTGAATAGGTTCGATTTCAACATTATGATAATACAATATAAACTGCTGTATTTGGAAGATCACCTCAAATCATGGTATAAGTGCACTATCGCATATTGTTACATCATATGTAACAATAACTTCTCATAGAAGAAAAACATTTATTTTGTCCACAAATGACACCACAGAAAGATAGAAGAGAAAAGATAACAAAAATTTTGTGCTATATTTTGACTGCAATGTTATATATTGTAGATATGATTATATGAATTACCTCAGTAATTCACTACAGAGAGTGCCATTCAGATGATGACAATGCGCGGAACAATTAAAAAGGACATGCGCATGAGTGTGCGCGCGATCTGTGCCGCTGTTTCGGGAGAATAATTGCGGGTCGCGGCCTCGGCGCCCGCGCTTCCATCAGCTAACTGGGACACTCCATTATCTCGCGACGGGTTAGTTATCCTTTCTTTACAATTTAAATCTTTAATAATTTCATAGTACATGTTAAACTAAATAAAATAGGCACGGAAATGAGTGTAAATTACACAACTATGTAGGTAACTACTCATGGGTGTATTTAAGAAATTATTATGCCTAATGGCTTAATTTGGTACCAGTTATGTAACAAATTAGAGAGATAGATAGAAAATACTCTATTGTTAGCACCACTTACATAGAAAGATAGAAATTACTAAGCAGAGAAAATATCTACGAAATGATAAGCAGAACTGCAGTCACAAACAGTGTCGAAGTTCATTTGCTTATTGCTCAAAATCTTAACACCGATAAAACACATAGTAGTAAATCTCATTGAAAGCCGAGTTTGTTAAACATCAAACAGGTCAATGGGATCATTTGATCAATTATGGCGTGTCATGTCACCAATTCACCATCCCTGGTTAACGCGGTCCTTCCGCCTATGGCTGTCACAACACCACGCCCGCCGCACCCTCTAATTCATTGTGCATCTCTAACAGACGTTCTCATTCCTCAGCGTACCACTTGTCAATCAATATTACGGACTGATGCTTATCGTCTAGTTTTAAAATTATAACATTTCTCATCCTTGATATTGTTAACGGACGTTTCAATTTAGGTTACAGGCTTCATCAGTTGATTTCGTAGAGTTAGTTTCTTCGTTACGGTGTATGTTAAAAAAGTAAGAATTGTCAATAATGTCTTAACTTTTATATTGATGGATATTTGTAATAATCTCTGAGGGCTCTACACATGTATAAATAAGCATTAAAAGAGAAAACACCACGTGCCACCACTCCAAAAACTGTCACGAACATACCATAAAGCTAATAAAACAACGAAGTAAATGAGTGTCTAATTAGCCAGCATCCTGTCTCGTGGCGGAATAATAACAAAACAATAGCTTCGTTCGGTTATTAAAGTCCCTGTTGCTCGTTGTTGGGGCGATTTCGGAAACGCGCTCGGAAGTCCAATTGGGAGCGCAGGCGCACGCCGGATGCAGCGCGATGTGAAAGTGAATTGTTGTGTACTTGTAGCAGTAGTGTTGTTTCTGAGCAGACATTAAAATTGCAGAGATGTGTCATATCACATATCATGTTCAAGATATATAACTTTAAATTAAAATATGTCATTTACTATTATTATACCACTCATATAATGGTATAATAAATTTGTTTAAGTAAGAGCAACTGTAGAGTTTTTTCCACTAACAGTTAACCCATGACTCGACCTGACATTCAGTATCTGCTTGCGCACATACAAGTACCTAATATCGATGACTTAGTTTCGGGCGTGTGTATCCATTTTAATTCACAAACAATTAATTACTCGTCTGCATGACAGTAAGTCATAAATGATTTGTAAGTTGGCGCCAACGAAACGATCAATTTGCTGTTTTTCTAACTCTGTTACTGACCTCTGATAAACTTTAATGATAATTTTATAAATTGTTTAGCAACAGTTTATGTATTTTACTCGTGGTGATCATATCTGTGTACTGTGGGAAATGCGTGATATTGTTTTTACAATTTTCACAAACATTTATATAAGTGGGGCGGATAATGCCACTATTGTCACTATACATGTTATAGTTTTCTCTTATGGATGAGCACAGACACACGCGGGTTAAAATTAATTTAATAATTTTCGAAAGTTTTTTCATATCCCCGCCTTGCATACCAAATGCATTGTAGAAGTCTTGACAGTCGTCTTCACAATGTCACAAACTGATTTATATTTTCCATCCTGTAATGGAAGGATTTATAGGACAATGTATTCGCTTCTACAATAAGATTCCATTTCACATTAAAAATTTGCTAATCACGAGGTTTAAAACTATGGTGAAACAAAAACTGTACACTACCTAAAGGTTAAGTATTTTATACAGCTTTTCCGTACTTGGATGGCAAATATTCGTAATAGCGACCAGTTTATGACGTTTATGATCTACATGTTTGAAATAAATATTGTAAATGATAAATATGTACAAATGTTTATTTACAAAGTGCCAACTCTCTCTCGAGTTTCTTGCTTATTCTTCTCCGGGGAATTTGCCTTACGAATGAGCAGTATAATTTAATTAAAATGACGATTTCAAATGTAAGTACTTTGCTTACTTATGAAATAAAGATAATTTGTATTTGACTTAGCTAAAATATTTCAGGCCTAACCTATACTTTTTAGACCTTTCAGAGATTTCTTAGATAGGTACTTTATAACATATTAAGTATAAATAAAAATAAAATGAAGTTATTGCTACCCACTGTTTTATATCCATGCCTCTACGAGGATTCATATTCCACATAATTCCATGCACGTATAATAAGCAGGAACATAGCAATCCAGGTATAGTCGCTTTAACAAATTGAAAATTGTGTGCGTGATGACAATGAATAAGTCCTTGAACTCTTCACAATGGCTGCTGCGCTGTTGCGCGCACTGAAAGCATCAATGATTGAACTGAAGTTTCGAAACGGAATTCTAACTTCTGCATGTTCTTTTACAAAGGGACCAAATGTACGTGTCCAGGTCACGCGCTGGCCCACGCCAATCACTTGACTATGACAATTGGATAATGTGCAGCCAAATTGGGGCCCACCGGCGTGCTTCCCGTCGCCTCTCTCGAGGACTCTCATCTGCTCTCAACTGAATAGTTCTCTGGTTAGCCTCTTCCAGCCAATGGTATATACTACTGTAGAGATTGAACTGCATTAGAAACACAAAAAACGTTCATCGTTCAATGTTACGTATGTAGCTATTGAAGCTACCTAAGTGTACTCTAATTTATGTATTTCGGTGGAAGGAGTTATATAGAGGATATTATAATTTAACTGGCCTGGAGGGTTGATTCAGTTCTATATTCTATTTTTGCTATTTATCGCTGTTAACTGGCCAATAAACGAACAATAAATCAAAATACTTCGCAGTGGCTGAGTGCGTCAAGAGGCTGGACGGACGTGAGGGGTGGGAAGGGGATAATGGGTAGCGGGGAGAAGAGGCGAATTGTTGAATGGGCGCAGCACAATCGTAACTCGGGGAACGGTTCTAATGAGGAAATAGGAATTAACCGCCGACGAAGCACAATGCAGTTCTTTATGGTAACTTTAACTCTTCAATATTAATGTTGTAATTTTTAGGGTTCAGTAGTCAAACTAGGAAGCCCTATAATTTAGTCGCTTCTGTCTTCCTGTTTATATGTGTAGGATTTGTAATCACTCGTTTATGTATCTACTGTCATGGGAATTTTAATGTGAAGATGAATGAGTTTTAAATTACTCAAAAACAGAAATTAAGCATAGGTAATAATTTACATTAACCCAGGGAGTGAAATGTCGTTAGCGAGGTAATACAAACAACAAAAGTGTATTGCTTGATGTGCTGTTGATTGGAGCTTTTGAGGTATTCGCTGTTGTT